TGTTCGTGTCCTATTTATGCATATGATTACTTCAAAAATGACATGAAGCTAAAGTTTTATCTGCTAAAATTTTAAAAATTTTCTTGACTCTACTTAAGGTGATTACAGCACCCCTTATAATTTTCGAACAAGCATATCTCGAAAAGTGATTTTTCTTAAAAATTAAAATTTTGGCAAAATTAATGAGGCAATAATATCTAAAATATGCATGTATTTTAAAGTTTTAGTCCAAGAAAAAAAATCAAAGGGCTTTAAATTTTGAAATAAATGCATTCCTCAACAGCACTATTTTTAGTATAATCCCCAAATTTAAGCTCTTAATCTTTTGTTAATGATTTTTTTAAAATTCGCCGAAATTAGTGCCTAAAATGCCTCGTTAAGTGCTATTTTCAGGTTTAAACTGGTGTAAATAATTGCAAGAAACGAATGATGACTCAGAGTATACGATACGATAGTTACAGTCGCGTTACACCAGAAAGCAGCACTTAACGAGACGTTTTAGCCACTAATTTCGGCGAATTTTAAAAAATCATTAACAAGAGTTTAAGAGCTTAAATTAGGGGATTATATTAAGAATACTGCTGTTGAGGAATGCATTTATTTTCATTATGATATTTCAAAATTTAAAGCCCTTTGATTTTTTTTCTTGGAAACTGAAAATAATTAAAACTTTAAAATATAAGCATATTCTAGATATTATTGCCTTATTTATTTTGCCACAATTTTAACTTTAAAAAAAATTACTTTTTGAGATATGCCTGTCCGAAAATTATAAGGGGGTGCTGTACTCACCTTAATAGTTTTTTGCCCAACTTCCCATAATTCTTGTACAATTTAATTACTGAACCGTTTCAAAGTGTTTGCAACCACTGAAGAGTCTCTGAAATATTTAGTTACTTTGTGTTTACCCCGGCGTCATTGGTTTAAACGCACCCCTAAATATGTAATATTTTTTACGAGAAAATTATGCGTTGTGCCATATTCTGGTTATTTGGGATTTAATCTGCTACATGACGACTACTTTTTCTAAAAATAGCGGTATTCTAAAACCCCGGCGCGCGGCGTCATAGGTTAAAAAGTACCCCTAGAAGATTATTATTTTTTATGAGGAAACGGCGATTTGTGCCACATTCTGACTAAGTGGGATTTAATCAGGTGTTTCACGATAATATTCACTGAAAATATTTGTTTTCTAAAACCCCGGCGTCATAGATTTAAACGCATCCCTAAATATGTATTTTTAACAACCATACGAATTTGGTATGCGACATTTGGCGTATGCGACAATTTTCATGCGAGACTCCAGAATTCTACCCCAGCTCAAACTTGTTTTCATATCAATGTGTACTGCTTGTGCTGATGGAATTGTAAGCTGTCAAAATTGCAGAGGTATCAATACAAAAGTTGGAGATTTTTATAACAGTACTCTGGATAATGAAAGTAAATATTATTATTGCTGTTTAAACATGGTTACAGGATGGAGTAAGAGATAGAGAAATTGTTAATACTGACATATTCAATTTGTTACGATTTTACTCACATAGGGGTCTATTCTGTAACAATTCCTTTATATTTAACGGCATTTAAAAATATTTTCTTCTTTACTTCTGTCATTATTTAAACGGATCTTTAAAATACATTAGAGGACTATCTTAAAGAAATCTGTTTAAATAATGACAGAAGTAAATTAACGAATACGAAAATGTTTTTAAAGGCCGCCAATATTTTTAAAGGCCGTTAAATATGAAGGAATTGTTACAGAATAGACAGCATAAAATCTCAAAATAATAAAATATATTTCGCTTCAGAGAGATTACCTTAATTATCGTAGAAAAAATATTCCGAATTCATTATTACAAGAATTAGAATGGTGGCAGAAAAATATTGGATTAGGTCAAGCTATAAGACCTAAGCTGTTCTCAAAAGAGGTATTTTCAGATACTTCACAGACTGGTTTTAAATATGGTTTGTATGGTTTTAAATACTTACCATCAGTTTTGGAACAACCAAGAATTAAAACTGCACATTAACTTCTTAAAAATCAAGGCAGTATTTTATGCTTTAAAATCTCTTGCATATTACGGAGGATGACAACCAAACAGCCATGTCTTGTGTAAATCGAGGTGGAATCTTTAAATATTCATGTAAAATATTGTAACAAAAAGCTGTGGAAATTGTGTGAGGTGAGGCATATTTTAGTTTTTGTCAGTTATATCTCGTCGACAGCAAATACAAATACAAATAGGGAATCAAGGTCAATTACTATAGATATAAATTAAACGACAAAATATTTAAGAATATTGTAAAAAGGAAATAGATGTTTGTCATAAAAACAAAATTAAAAAATGTTCAAGAATTATTTCATGGTTTCCGGACCCAGAATCTGGATGCATTTACCTTAGATTGGACAACGATCAAGATATTATATGCCTTTTCTGCTTTTTTACTACCAGAAAAATGTTTGCTTATCTCTCCTTTTAGGATTACAAGATTACCCTGGTGACAGGGATATTGTTCGAAGGTCTTAAAAAGGCCTTCCTAATGATAAAATACATTATTAAAGATACAATAAATCTAATATTAAATACTTATATGAAATGAAATGTATTGAATATAATAAAAACATATTCGTTCTGAAATTGGCTGAACACCCAGTGATATCTAAATTGCATTGATTAGCCAGTCGCATGAGTCTAGGTAGAGGTGCATGATAATTTTTAACAGTAGATGCCTTAAAACAATATGTGGCCGGTTTTACGTAATATTGGAAAGTATAAGCAACAAAGCCCTATTACATATAATTTACAAACAGAATTCAAATTTTCTGTCAAAGAGTTTAATCAATATAAATTCGTTTTCAGTTTTGAATTCGTATAGGTCAGCATTAAATTTAAATTCCAATGACAAAAATTTTTTTAAATTTTTGAAGGGGCTTTTAGGAAATTACACCCTCTAGAGGCTTAACGTTTTGAAGAGTTGACACATAAACTTGTTACTCTTATGACTTTAATTAACATCAGCCATTAGAGTACAGTCTCTTCCTTGATTAAACTTTAATATATCGTTATAAAGGATAGAAATTAAAATCTCTGATAGAATAAAGATGAGACATCATATCAAGGAAACACAAATCGTCTCGCAACATCTCATACTGCTGCTCTAGGGTAGGTGTAAGTATTGAACACTATTATTGATTTGAAAATTAAATCAAATAGGTATTTGACCTATTCTTAAATTGTGATTATACAATAATTTTATTATTCTAATTCACTTTTTAGCTAGTAAGTAGTTATAAAAATAGCTATAAATGTAAATATTCGTTTATTTAATTACGTTTATAAGGTTTAAATAAATAATTATTCAGAATTTTCCGAGCTTGTCCGTAGATATAATTATTTCCCATCCTACCCTATATTATGTGGATACTGTAATGTGAGCCATTTCATTATTCAGTCATGCTCTAATACTCCAAGTCCCTCTCTGTATTATTTGGCCTTTGAGGCTCAACTTGTCCGATTATTATACATAATTAAACCCCTTAAGACCAAACCTATGGGACGACTATGGCGGAGGTGATTTCGATGATGTTCGAGAAAGAACGAGATAATGTTTCTAGTGTGTTGTAGAGACTATGTGAACTCACTAGAACGTTCGCCATTTTTTTAAGTTTGTATATAAATATTGGTGGATGAGCCATCATAATCAGTTATTATATGGACAGTGAAGATAAATAGTAATTAGTAGATATACAGTGGTGAATATAAATAGTGATCAGTTTAAAGACATTCGAAGTATATATAAATTAGAATAGTTGTGTTATAAAATAAATAAGTATTTAAATAAATTATTAATAAATAAACTGTTGTTTTAAAGTAAACAAACATCACAATACATATTTAGTTGACAGATATCAAGTCATTTTCGTAACTCGCATTTCAACGGAATGATATACAAAGGTTTGGTATGGGATTAGGAGCAGTGAATATGCCTAATTTTGTTTACTCTAGAAAAAATACGTGCTGATAAGTATGTTTCAAGAAAACTACAATGTAATGTATTTACGGACAAGCTCGGAAAATTATAATGAATCTTAAGGTAAGTCGATTAATTTTTAAAATTTTTTCCTTTCTTGACGATGGCTAATTAATTCTTTTATTATATGAGAGCCCAGTTGCCTTTGCTGCGCAATCTGGATGTATAGTACCTACCTAGGAAAGTTTCAGAGATAAGTCAACTATTAATTTTTTCTATATCCCGAATTACCTACAGATTTTATTGATATTTCAGCAGTCACTGATGTACATTTAATTATTCTTAAAATATTTTAACTGGTTATATTCAGAGTACCGGATTTCCGAGAGCTGTGATGAAATGGTATATTACAGAAAAGCGTTTAATGGGGTGTAATGACGGATAATTTTCATTACTGTGGTAATATTTTTTTAAAGCAATAATTCTGCACTAATTTTTGCACCTTCAAGTGATATTTTTCTTTTGGAGAAATCGTTTTAAAAATATGTTTAACAAGAATTAAAACAAAAATGGCAACTGTTTTAATAATGTAAGCGTTATTTATTGTTGCTAATGAAAATAATAAATGTTGGGTTCTAATTAACAGTACTGTTCCTAAAGTGGCGCTGGGAAACAGTAACAAAGCCTACACAAAACGCGAGGCGAAATAACCCTGGTAGTTGAAGCCGATGACACAAAAAAAAACAGTGTACATGTTCAAAAAGAATTAAAAAATCTGACAACAGCTGTATTAATGGAGACATTGTTCAGTGTTGCTACACAAAATATATAATGACATATTGTAGCGCTCAGGAAAACTTTTCTTGTGATCGCAGGGAAAAAGCCCATTTGCAGTGCGCTAAATAGGCATCTAAAGATAGTGTATTCAGAGTAGTATAATTAAAACAGGCTACCCGTACTATTTACGTACAAATAACCAACAAACGAGACATTTCTAGAACTCGCAAACTTCATGAATTAAAACTTACCTTCGATATTCTTAACAGTCCGGCAGAAAGTATCGTTAATCTCTCTCCGAGAGCAACAGGCACGCTCTGGCCCTGTAACTCTCGTTTCCAGTAGTATCCGGGGACGGGATATCCTTGAGCCACGCAAGGTAGAGTCACGTCCTCTCCTAAGACGACGCGTCTCGCGTTGTACTTGTCGACGCTGATGCGTGGTTGCGAATCGCCTTTCGGTTCTGTGACGATTATGCGCCCGGGATACGAACTCGTTTGAACTTCACCTGTAAAAAATATAGTTATTGTTAATTAATAAAATATTTAAAAAAAAAAATAGTGATCATGAACGAACTAAAGATATGAACTAATTCATTGGCTAAACTTACAAGAAGAAGTTACCTATCAATAATAATTGATCGTCACGTAAGGCAACTCGGATCTTTAATCTCAAGGTACTTATCCCTAGATCCACCTGTAGTTCGCTTTTTTTTTCTTTGTAGGTAAAATTGCAGCAATTCGTAAAAATGATTGTCATATTAGTCTAGAAGGAATTGTTAGAATCATTTAAAAATAAGCCAAATAATATATAAATCAAAGAGGTTAGAAAGGGTAGAAGTAATATAGAAAGCATTTTCCACTGCGCGAATTTTGGCAAAACCGAAACCTGGGGGTCAATTCTCGACTTTTATTCAGTTTTCGTATTCTCGGCATAAGCGGTGGAATATTTTCCAATGAGAAGTATGGGAAAATATTCCCCTGCTTACGAGCATTGGAAATTGTGTTTTCCAATGGGAATTGTACTAGAGTTTGCGCATTAAAGTCGAAAATTTGACGAAAGACCACGCGAAAGACTAAGACAACCAAAGATTATTGGATATCTTGGATTTTTGGTGAAATTGTAGTTAAAACATTTTTTTTGTGTATTTATAAATTGATATTATTTTATTTATGTGGGTATATTATTTTTACCTCTCTTTCACTAAGAAACTGATTTTCTTAAATTAGTTAGAAATTGTGAGAGCTGCTAAGGAACTGGCAAATAGGTAACACAAATTGAGAAATTTGTAGTAAATTTAATAAGACCTTTTCGAAAATTTGATTATTTCCGTTAACGAAAGAATTTCTTAGTTTCTCGAAACTTTCGTTGCTCTTCTATACAAAAGCTACTTTTTCTTTTTTCAATATGTGAAAAGAAAAACTAAAAATAACTCGATAAGTTTTAATTATACATAATCGAATATTTTCACTTGTCCTCGGTCAAGCTAGCGATTGCTCGGCACGGCATCTGCTCCAGCGCAGAGGCTCGGCAGGTAATCGGTTACCCAAAAACCACAACAAATACAAATAATACCAACAGTAAATTTTAAAATATCTTTAATGTTATTGGTTATTTCGAAATATTCGTGAACTTAATATCAGACATACGTGAAACTATTATTTCCATGGGAATGTCTATTCCGACAAGTTCGAGAATTGCATAACCTATTACCATGGGAATATAAGTAGTGGAATCTTTTCCCATGGAAAATTTTTCCAATGAACTCGAGAATCGAGCCCCTGGGTGTAAGGAGTAGGGAGATGTTCTGGGCCGGACTTATATATTTGTATTATAGTACCTAATTTTGGTAACTGTTAAAATTATAATTTATAAAATGTTTTTAATATATTTTAGTGTTTTTGTTAATTTTATCAACTTGAACCATTTTCAATTCTAATATTGGAATCAAAATTTTCACTGCTTCAAAGTTTGTAGGAGGAGACGGGTCTTGATATTCTAACAGAAAACGGTGTGTTTAATTTAAACTCTCGCTAAAGAAGCAATTTTTATTTTCATAAATAGTTATAAAAATTGTGATACAGTGAACAAAGTATTAGTGATCGAATAAACTTGCAATTACAAACTGTAAGTACAGTTTTTTTTTCTAATTGAATGATAAATCAAGTTTAAACGACAAAAATACATCCAACAGCAATTGCAGAAATCTTATCAGTTAACAAAAACTATCGTTTAACCTGTTTATCTCCACGGCATGGTCGGAGACAGACAGGGACGTACTTGAATTATTTCAAACTGACTTAATTTCTGCATACTACACCTGAAACTTCTGACTACAGAAGCACCACAATAAATCAAAGCTACTTTATACAGTTCTAACACAACAAAAATATCCTTCAATAAATCAAGCTATTATATTTACACCTATCGATGGAGCAAAACTTCAAGATTACTTGTTACCACTGGGAGAAATTGTTCATCCGAAAAATATAATTTTCTGCTCTCAACTCTCAAATAATAAAATACGTATGTACCTGTCATCTCAGGAAATAGTTGAAAAATTTACGAATGACTACAATGGTATTATAGAGATTGATAATGAAATCTTATAAGCTCGTCGCTATGTTACCCAATCTGAAAGAATTATCCTATCCAATGTCTCTCTATAAATACCACATGATATTTTAATGAAGGAACTAGAGCATATAGGAGTTAATACTTTATCCAATAACTTTTTAAAAATTAACGCATCATTACCTAAATTTACCCATAATTTAAGTTTCCGCCGACAAGTTTTTATTAAATCCACAGCATTGCCAATTCCAGAGTCCTTCCTAATTAATTATGAAAATACATCATATCGAATTTTTCTAGCCCGAGATATTTTAGAATGTTTTAATTGCAAACAAGAAGACCACACATCTTCTAAATGTAAAACAGCACCTACAAGCACCAACCCCACAGCAATTCCATCTATACCAAATCAGTCACAGAACTCTATTACTGCCACATCGGAAACCATAACACCTTCACCTGCAGTTATTGCACCTACTCCCGCAGTTGTTGTGCCTACTCCTTTAAAAAACCATTTACAATCCAATGCTGCTTCAATAGAAAATACAAATAACCTTCAACAGCAACAACAGAAGCAGACTATAGAATCCAATGCATCAGCTATGGAAATCGATCAGACCCCGAGCAGTACAAAAACAAATGTCGATAACACCCTCTCTCCATCCATCTTAGATGAAACATCGCCAAATTTCACAAAACTTTTAGACCCAAACCCGCTAAATCAAAAATGTATAGCAGTATTTTTGATATTAAGAGAACATTCGATACAGCATGGAAACAATTAATAATTAAAAACTTATATAATAATCAAATCGTTTGGCATTTATCAATAATTTTCTAGATAATCGAAAATTTCGAATTAAGACAAATGGTGTATTTTCCTCAACAATTGACCTAGAAAACGAAATTCCGCAAGGATCCATATTAAGTCTCACTCTTTTCATAATGGCAACTACCCAGACAGCACAAAAATATTGCATGAATATTCAATGCATATCTTATCTCAACTGCATACTCCTATATTCCATGGATATGCCATATCCGCCATGGCATATGACGAGAAGATTGCATGAATATTCAAGGTCACCATGAAACATATGCCCACGATATATTTTTATCTGCCAAAATATATGTATGGCATATTCTCTGAATTTACTGAGGATATCTATGTATGCCTATATTCATGGTATTTTGAATATTCATGGCATATTCAATTTTTTTTTTGTAATGCCGTACCATAGTTTAGAAAATAAAACCCATACTTAAATACAAAATAAATTTTATTTTAAAAATAAAGCAAATTTTAAAAAATAAAACAATACATACATACATACAAAAAACTAAAAAAATAAATTTATTTGTTGAGGTTCTTCACGTACTTTTCTGCTAAAAAAAATGACATATTAAGATATGTATATCAGTAAAATAGAAATATTTTAAAATCTTGAGACAAACATTACAATAATACTTACTTCTATAGCATTTTTGGGTCACTTTATTTATAGTAAAGGCCTCTACATTTTCCGTTGCCATTTGTGTACTATGGATTTTCCTACACATCTCTAAAAAAACAAAAATAGGTTTACATAGTGCCTTGTCTGCAATTTTATTGCGAATTGTCCATATTTTTATTTCCTCTTAACACTTTTATAATGATCAGTTACTTTATTACTAAGAATAGGTAAATCATTAGCCGTAGATGTCTTTGAATTAATATCCTATACAAAGAGAGCTGTTGAAATAAACTCAGATTCTTGAATATTACACGAGTTTTTTCCTGGAGAAAAGAATAATGGTATTTCTTTGGAAGATTCAGTAAGAAGCTTACATTTTACATTCATCTGAAGCTAATGCTCTATCATTATTTGAGAACAAAAGATTCGTCTACCAATTGATTTACACTTCTTATAAAATATTTATGATTTTAAGCATTACACTGATACTACAGAAGGGCCATATATTATAATTAATCAGACTTACCCCTTAGGTGGGTATATCGTGAGAAAAAACTAAAACTCCATGGAGGAAGGATAATCACGTCAGCAAATCTGACAATGTTTGGTTATGTGTCTTATTCTTCTTCTTTTTTTTATTAGTGGCCTTCATCGTTTAGAGTATTTGACCAAGGTATCATGAATAAAAAAATATTCCTAACAATCTAACTTCCCGTTTAACAAAGACTTATGTTCGACGATAGGCTAGATTATGAGTGCATCCAATAAGACACTATTAGGTAATTTTTACTACCAACTACCAATACTTACTAGGCGCATACTTTTGACTTTTAGAATCATTCTTTTGTCCTTTTCTTGTCTACATTATAGGAAAACTATACATACTTATTTTATCTATGGAGATAAAGATAATTTGATCTCGGAGGTTTGATTTTTTTTATTAATTGAAAATAAGTTTGCATGATTTAAAGTTACATTCCGGAGTTCTAAGTTCACGTTTTTGTTTAATTTAAGTCTTTATAAACTAAACAAAGGATGATTCTGTAAACTATATCTTCATTTGTACTTATAAATAATAAAACAAAATAGTTAAATATAATATAATATTCTACAGAGATATCTATACAATATGAAAAATGAATATGCAGAGCATATCAAAAATACATATGCCTGGAATATCTTTCTTGAATATAGAATATTAAATATATTCTGTGAATATTCCATAAATATTGCAATATATTTTGGCAAATAGGCAGATTGGTGGCATATGCAAGGAATATAGTGTGCTGTCTGGGTAATGGTGTTCTTGAATGCTTAAAATCTCCACTGAAAGGTCGATTATATGCAGACGACTTAGTAATGTTTGGAAAAAGTAATAATACAGAAAGACTCTTGGCTATCACGCAAAACTTTCTATACAATTTAGAGAACTGGTCCCAGAAAACAGGTTTACAGTTTTCTACCGAAAAACCCAGTATATACTTTTTTAAAAAAGAAATAATCCAGACTCGCCATCGTTAAATTTACATCAAAAATGCCTCCCAAAAAAAGACTCTGTACGTTTCTTAGGAATGACCTTTGACCGAAGATAAAATTGGAAAGAACACATTAGACAATTGGTTTTTGACTGCCATTTAAGGCTTAATATTTAAATTCACTAGCTAATCGATAATGGGGGTTGTTAGATAGACAGAGTATGCTTTCACTTTATAGAACAATAATTAGACCAAAGCTGGACTATGGTGCTGCAGTTTCTTCATCTACCACTAAAACTCTTTTAAAATCCCTATATGTAATCCACAACAATGCATTTCGCCTTCTATTGGGAGCCTTTAGATCAAGTCCAGTAGAAAGTCTCTATTGTGAAGCTGGTGAACCATCGCTTATTGATAGGCAAATTTATTTGAGTTTGACATATGCAGTAAAATGCAATGCAGATCCTTACAATGACACCTATAGCGACACTCAAAATATTAGACTGTTAAGGTTATTTAACAACAAACCACGCATGGCAAAACTTTTTTAACATAGAGTAACCCTGTATCTTAACTTGCTTAATATAGCCTTTCCTCCATGTTTTAATCTCACTTTTGAATCTTTACCACCTTGAACCTTGAAAAACCCAAAACTTATTACCTCCTTGACCTCCTTTGATAAACATACAATAAATAGAAAAATATTAATCCAAAACCTGCAAAGAATTAAAGAAAAATATACAGGCTATACAGAAATGTATAAAGAAGCATCTAAATCAAATAATGGAGTAGGAGCGGCAATTGTGGGATCTAATTTAGCTGTAAAATACACTCTTCTATATTCATGCAGTATTCATACAGCAGAATTATATGCTATATACCGTGCCCTATTACTGGTCAATTCTTCCAACCTTGAGGACATCATCATACTGATTCCCTTAGCTCTCTATACACAATACAGCAGATATATCCAAACAACTCTCTGGCAATTAGAATTAAACAAGAATTACATGAAGCTCAAGATAAGAACAAGCAAATAATTTTTATATGGATTCCATCAAATATAAAAATATATGGAAATGAAGAAGCTGACAGAAACGCTCGTGAAGCAGTAAACTTCACAGATTCAATAGAGAACCAAGAAATGCTGTTCTATGACATTAAAAACTTTATAAAAGTAAAAGTGTATAGTGCGTGGTAAACCCGATGGCAAACCTCAACGGATAAGTTGCGTGTAGTGAAACCGTGGCTAAAGTTACCTCCTGGTCGAAAAACAGAAGTTACTATAACGCGTCTAAGACTCGGTCATACGTGACTAATACATGGTTATCTGATCAGTAAGTCTCCAGAACCAATTTGTGAATATTGTAATGTAAATCTAACGGTAAAACACTTTATGACTGAATGTCCCCAATTTATTCAAGAAAGAAACAACCACAATATTTCTAAGACTCTCGATCAAGCTCTTGGTTTGAATTGTTCGTTCAAAAATATTATTTCGTACTTAAAAGCAACTTACTTTGTAAATATATAATATGCTGTATACACTGCCTCTCGCTAATAACCTTTGATTATTACTAATAATATTCTACAATATACGTGTACCTTTGAAACGAACATTAAATACTAATTTTTAGACTTACAACTAACAAAATTCGTTAAGAAAAAAACCTTCTAGAAACTCTAAAAACTTTAAAAATATGCCCAGGGAATATAAAATCACACAAAATGTACAAGCAGTAGCAGTTCTCAAGTGTTTGTTGACAGTTGTTAGAAAATTTTGGCGCTGCTTTTTAAAATAGACGAATCACATTAAAGACCCAGGAGAAATAGAAAGTAATAAAACAAACGGTCCATACTGGCTTCAAACAAATCCAGACAGTTATCTATTATTCATTTGTTTAATCTGGGGAAAAAATTCATTTTCAATTTATAACTTTAAAGAGCTATACATTTTTGCATGCATTTTTGTATATCTGTAAATTAAGTCTAACCGACCTTTTATTGACTGGTAATCTGGTAATCTCCGTTCAGGACTTCGATCTTATGGCCAATATATGTACTTCCGTTGATTATCCTGTCTATGCAGCAATTGCCTTTAGCGAGGATATTAAATTAAATTCTAAATTTGAAAATATGGGTTCTAAAATACCACTGTGTAGTTGCACCAAAACATAATTTAATTAGAGTCAAAGTTTAAACTAATAACCAAACTTACTTAAAGATCAACAAACACCGCCAGATGGCGATCTTTATGTGCTGAACAAAGTTGTGTTAGTTTTGTTTTCAAATGCATATTAGTGTGAAAGTTTGGATGTGGTTTTAGGGCAGAATTTGTTCGATATGTAACTTATCTAAAAATTATATGAAAATAAGACTGATTTAAGTTTAATTTTTAATTTTGTCTATCTAAAGCTTAAATAGCAGGCTTAGACTACATTAAAAAATAGAGTGATTCGTTAACCTTATAATTTCGTTTGTGGTTGTTTTTTTACGCACTTTTAATTTTCAATCCTTAACTTTTTCCCCACAAACTCTTGGCATCAAAAGCTTGTTATCTCAAAAAATATTAACTCGATTCGTCATATAATATAACTTTTGCCAATCCTAAACCAATATAAGATACCCGCTCTAACGTTTCAATTCCAAGATTCTCTTTTGAACTCGTTTTGTTGAGAAATGATTTGAACAGATTCTGACTGATGCGGATATTTCTGTTTTCTCTCAAAACTCTTGCCAATTGAGTTTTATTTCAACATCCTTGCCGACAAAATCGATGTTTAGAAATGTACTTTTCGTTTTCCTTATACGACTTTGACGTGATTCAATAAAAGATATAGATCGATATTATTTTTG